CATTTTTTTTCCTTTTTTGAAGATGGGAACTACATCAGCTCTTTTCCAGTCCTCTGGTAGTTCCCCAGTGCTCCAAGATCTTTGAAAAATATAGTTCAGTGGTTCTGAGATCACATCTGCCAGTTCCTTGAGAACCTTGGGGTGTAATCCATCTGGTCCTGGTGATTTGAACTTGTCTAGGCTGGACAGGTGCTCACTTTCTTGCCTATCTTAACTTGTGTTTCTATACTGTTTTTTATGGCACTATTTTTGATAGGTTGGTCTGTTTTTTCCCTTTGTGTAAAGACAGATGCAAAAAACGAGTTAAATAGTTCTGCTTTCTCCCTATTACTAGTCACCTTCTTACCACTTTCACCCACTAATGGACCAATCGTTTAATTTGCTTCCTTCTCATTTGTAGATTTGGGAAATTTTTCACGTTGTTACATAAGTATCAGGGCAAAAATTGCCAGAGGTGGAAGAGGTGGATTGCTTCCTGGTCATGCCCGGTGGAAGGAGGGGACCCAGCCGGCAGCAACTAAGCCGTTCAGCTTTGCCTTCTCTTCAGACATTAGTTGGTGGGAACTGTGGCAACGGAACAGGTCTGAGAAATAGGTAAATCTAAGTCTAACATTGTGCTTCTAAATCTATTTATTCCCTATTATCATTGGATATTTTTACATCGAAAAGAGTACCAGCCGTTGATAATTTCCCATAACCTTGATTTTTAAGGGAGGCTTTTGCCCTGTGTTCAGCATATTGTTTTGACACCTTATTCATCTCAGTATGACCAGAGCAGGACACCCTTGATGTCTGGGGTTTAACTTGTATTTTTTTGAAGGGATTGAAGGCTCCAATAGACAGGCAGTAATGTAAGTGAACAGTTTAGTTTTTCAAATTATTTCTGTTTTGGGGAGGGAGGAAAATTTATGTAACTTTCATAGTTTGTTAATCAGTCTTTTAAAACATTTGAAGTTTTGCAAAAATAAATTGGGCTGCCTGCAATTGCCAAATGCCTTTATATTCAGCTAAAGCATCTTCTGACTTAACAGTTTGGGCCTGATGCAATAGAAGCATCTGAAACCTAAACCTAAACTAAGCATCTGAAACCTAGTAACTATTGTTACTAGGAAAAAATGGAATTCCTAAATCTCTAATTAATGCATTGTGTAATGGAAAACTTAATCAGATGATGTAGTATATCGTCCATAAAAGCTTATGCCATAATATTATTAATCTTTACATCTCCATATGAATCTCTGTTGATTGCATTAACCTATGTTATTGAGTTCTAAAGAATCTGTTGCAAATCTATGTTATCAAACTAATAAACAATTTAACATCTAGATGCTAAGTACCATTGTTCAACCAGTGGTAACAATTATTTTTGATTTCAGGAATGGTAGTACTCTCAGTCTTTCTGCTCCTCCTATCACTGCCCTGATTACACCTGAGCCTGTGAGACACTGCCGAATCCCAGAGCTCCCTGTGGATGGAAACCTTCTATTTGAATTCCTCTTTTTCACCTACTTGCTGGTGTCTCTTTTCATTCAATATATTAATATTTACAAGACCGTCTGGTGGTATCCATATAACCACCCTGCCTCCTGTACATCACTGGTGAGTTCATATTTGCTTACCCATCCCAGGATTAATGAGTCTCTTGTAGTTAATTAATTAATATATGTATATCATGAAGCACTAATCAATACTGTCAATAATTATATGGTAGAAAAAAGAAGGAATTGCAAGGAACTTGTATCTCAGTTTTGCAGACAGCATTTATGGATTGTTGGTTCTTTCTCTTGAAACACACAACCTTTTTCTTATATTCCACTCTGGGAGAGTTATGGTAAATATGGCATTTAATATTACGATATCAACATATGATATAAAAAGAAAGCTTGCAATCTATAGACTATCCCTGATACTTTGTAGAATTGAATTCATTTTGATCTGAAAAATACCTCTCTACCAACATAGGTAAAAATGTCTTGATATTCAGTGTTTTGGATTGTTCTCTCAGATATGCATATTGCAAGAAATTGGGTGAGAGAGTTAATATCTTAAAAAGTAGAAATAAAATTCAAAATGATTTTGGTAGAATAGAGAAATTGGTTAAAATTCATAAAGTGAATAAAGAGAGAGAAATCCAAAGTTCCTCCCTTAAGGAATCAAATGGTGGGATTATCTGGAGAGTATGTATGACTTGGTAATGTACTTGTAAAAAATGTCCTGGAATAATATTGATTCCTTATTAGTCAGCAGTGCAATATAGTTGATAGAAGGCAAATAAACTTTTAGGTTGTATCAGCAGAGAATATTATCATCTCTTGACAGCAGAATATGATCAGGGAAGAAAGATTCACATAAAGTTCCATTAATTAAGTTTAATGTCAATAAATAGTGTTTTGGAATTCAGAATCTTAGAAACTGAAGAAGCAAGGTGTTCACCTTCATTTATGAGTGATGAATGGATTTTGTGAGTTGTTTGACTCTTGTTCCCAGAAGGCAAAACTAAAGGGCTAGATATCTTTTTCTCGGGTAAGGCTAGCACTGAGACATCCACTGCTCTTGGTTAGTGGTGTTTGAAATCATCCCTTTTCTTTCGCAGCCTGAGTTCTTTTAAGCACAATTTCTGTATCACTCTATGTATTGGTGTCCCTTTATCTGATTTAGTCCTGCCCCATATCAAGAACTATGTACAGGTTTGAGTATCACACTTCAATGAAGGACTCAAACAGCAGGGTTCAGAGCAAAAAGACTGAAAGCTAAGTCTTTAATCTCATTTAATAAGATTAAAGCATTTGGGCATTTCTAATCTTGAGAAGAAAAGATAATGAAAGGCATGATAGTACTCTTTCAGTTAATTCAAAATCTGTTCTGTCCCTTTTTAGAACGTAAGACACAGAATAATGAATTTTAGAGTACAGTTCTCGAATTACAACAGTTTATTTAGTGACTGTTCAAAGTTACAATGTCATTGATATATGACTGTTTTTCACACTTAACAACTGTTGCAGCATCCCCATGGTCATGTGATCAAAATTCAGATGCTTGGCAACTGACTCATATTTATGAAATTGCAGTGTCCCAGAGTCATGTAATCACCTTTTGTGACCTGACAAGCAAAATCAATGGGGAAACCAGATTCACTTAACAACCATGTTACTAACATGTTACTAACTTATCAAGTGCTCTGATTTACTTAACAACTGTGCCAAGAAAAGTCATAAAATGGGGCAAAACTCACTTAACAAATGTCTCAGTAACAGAAATTTTGGACTCAATTGTGGTCATAACTCAAGGACTCCCGGTAGTATAAAAATAGACATAAACCAATTTATTAATTAATTTAAATAATAACATACACTCTTGAAACAAATCATTAAGATCATTATTAACTGGACTTCCGGTTAGGGGTGGCCTTTGGCTTGCTGGGCGTGGGCGTGCTCTACCACCTCTACTCAAGCTTGCTAGCTGGCTGCTTTGCCTTCTTTGTGCTGGGTGGGGCTGCTGCTCCGGGTGGGAGCAGCGGCCTAATGGACCTGCGCAAGCTGCTGGCAGTAGCAGTGTGTGTGCCCACAAAGAGGGCTCTGAGTGCCGCCTCTGGCACGCATGTCATAGGTTCGCCACCACTGGTCTATATATATCTTGTGCTCACACACACACAGACACACACACACACACACACTAATTTGTCCTAATTGAAAAACTTTGATTTTGCTTCCAAATTTATTTTATAATAATGTAACATTTTAATTGTTTCTATTTTAGCTTAGTTTATTGGTTCATAAATATTTAAATCATAATAATAATAATAATAATAATAATAATAATTTAATTTGTACCCCGCCCTTCTCCTCATAGGACTCAGGGCGGCTAACAGCCTCATAAAAACCACAATACAATCATACAATAATATCTATATTAAAAACCGAATTAAAAGAAAATATTTTAGAAGGCCAATCATTAAAATTATCCTTAAAATTACCCTTAAAAAACCC